CACACACGCACTTCAGGTCAAGAGATCCAACGAGTTAATAGATTCAACGCTTCGAGAGATGCAACGTGAGAGAAGATGTTTATTGAGTCAGAAGGTTTACTCGTTGGAGCTGAGTCAAGAAATGCGATATGGTTCAAGAAGCCCAAGGAGTCAGAAGATCCAACGAATTCGGAGATCCACGGCGAGACGGGAGGTCGAACGAGGCTAAGACATCTAACGAGTTAATACGTTCATTATACCAGGATCACTTGACCCGGTTACTATGTGACCGTTGGATGTCTTGACCAGAAGTGACAGTGTCATTTAAAACGATCGATAACAATAGGTAACCTTGATGTTGCTTGTGCGTTCGTGCCTCCATGAGCCTTATCAAGAGGACCAGCAGATTGCAGCCTAAAGGTCAACAGACTCAACCTCTCGACCTGAAGTGCGCGATCTCTCTCCATCTCAAGGTTAATCTCTCTCTACCAATGTATCAATCAATATATCTGTCGTACCACTCACTCTCCGAAGCACAGGTTTTTAGACATAGGTTCTCCCGCCTATTTAAATTGTATCGCTCCGAAATAACTCTCCGAAGGAAGGCGGTCACTTATCTCCACGCTATGACTCAGCGTAGAAAGGTCCGTAAGGGCCGAAAACATTCACGCACTCACGCACGCAGGCACGCACGCACACGCGCGCACACACACGCACATATATATATAAACAAAAAGTGTCGCCGTTGGAGAAACCCGTTTTCTTGTTTCTTCTACTCTACCGCAGCATTCAATTTCGAGGCCAGCTCTAAAAGCGTTCCATAAAGGCCCTCGCCGCGCGCAACACAGCAGGGCAGGCTCTTTGAAGCTTCGCGAGTGTGTAAGCGACTTCATAAATCCGTCACCCCTCTCGCGCGTTACCGCGCGCCGCCAGCAACCAACAACAGGCACAAAGGGGTCCCCTTTTTTACCTCGGGTTCAAACCGTCCAAAACCGGTCCCAGCACAAAGTCGTCCACCGGCTCAAAAAGACAGCTCCGTCAGACGTGACCAGCCGCGAGGCGACCTCTCGGCGAGGCCTCATACTTTACGATGGACAGTATATGATCTCTATGCGATGGACCGCTGCGGACGGGTGGCGCTACGAGCGGTAGTGCTGTGCCCGCTACCGAAAATAAGCAACGAAGCGGCGTTACTCGTTAACTCGTCAAAACTTGACACGTTACTGAGACTCGTTACCGTCCCGCAAATGTTACGAAACACCGCAACCGTTACTTCCAAAAACTTCTCAAGAACGTTACGTGGATAGTTGAGCGCCTGGGTGTCTACATTTTGACGATGAAAGATGGACACAGAAGACGTCTGCATTGTCTTCTTTGTCTCTCTTTCGTTTCCGTTATAACGGACGTTACTTTTGCGTTACATTAGATTTCGGTTTTCGGCACGATAAGCGAAAGTGACGAACTGCGACGGCACGAGCGATTTTACGATATCTTTATTCTCCGTTCGTGAAATTTGCGCAATGCAGAGCGGTTCGCACGGCGCGCTGGATATATAGAGACTGAGAATGTGTATTATTTCGCAACAAAAGTAACGAGTATCGAGTGACGTAATTTCGTATACATTACCGTCGTTTCAGATTTTAATGGGTACACTAATGTTAATACGTTACTAAATGAAAAAAAAAAAAAAAAAAAAAGTCACGCGTTACATTCAATACGAGCCACCATATGCCACTCCGAGGCCGCCTTTGACCGTCGATAGAGGACGCAGCGACTAGCCGGGCGCGTAGTCACGTGATTCGTTCGCGGAACCTGATTGGCTGGGATGGCTCGTAGCGCCTGGTGCGGTCCATCTCGTAAAATGAAGCCGAGTGTTTTATCAAGCGGTGCGGCCATAAACAAGTCGCGCCTCGGGTCACCAAAAGAAGGCACGCGTGCGACGCATTGAGCGTCCCGAGAACAAAGCACTGCGCACTTTGATCTCCAGGCGTTTGTTTTTATGTTGCGTGCATTTTCAGTTCAACGACACCTCCTTTCATCATTCCTTATATAAGGGGGTATGCGGACTGCAAGTTCGTCTGCTTTTTGCGCAAGGGTTGCGATGATGTAAAAACGCCGAGCTCTTATTGGATGATTGAAAAGAAGAAGAAAAATGAAAGCCGTTTACAAATCCCTGTAACGCCGAATTGGAGCGCAGCTCTTGAGGAGGAGGAGGGAAGGTATACTGAAAGGAGTCACGTCACCTGCGGGTAGTCACGTGACCCCGGGGGGGGGGGGGGGTCACGTGATCTCGGGGGAGGGGGGGGGGTCACGTGATCTCGGGGGTCACGTGACCCCCCCCCCCCCCCCCCCCCGGTTACGCCGACGCCGCTCAGGCTGGAAACGGGCCCCTAAGAGCTGCGCTCTAAAAAGGATAGCGGGTAGACCTCAAGGCATCCATCATTGAGGTCTACCCACGATCCTTTCAATCGAAGCCCATCAGGCGTCGTTTTGACGTCGCCTCATCTCCTGCGCAAAGAAGCAGACGACTTGCTCTCAGCATACGCCCGAATTTTCGGAAGTCCTTGGTCGTATCTTCTGGGGTATATGGTGCCTGGATGGTGTCTTGACTGGTGCGCTTAGCGTCCATGATGCGGCCCATGAATTGAAAGTGGTCCCGAATCGTCACCAAATGACGTCACAGTAGCTGGTGTGTCGTGCTGTTGGATGTCGCGATCATGACAGTGCCAGAACTATTTCGAGCCGCTGATGAAATGATTATGCTTAAAACTAATGAGGAAACATAAACAATACCAGCAAGAAAAAAAAAACGATCTTGTTAACAGTGCTTAAGCTAAGAATAACGCGGCACAGTGCGATCCAAACAACCACTATTCGCACACTCCTAATATACCTATATATAATCCGACGAGTGAGAGCGTTCATTCTTTTTCTTCTACCTCCTCTTCATCCTCCATCCTCCTCCTCCTCCCTATATATATATATATATATATATATATATATATATATTTTTTTTTTTTTTTTCGGAATACAGTCGAGTTGAGAACTCAACAGAAGCGAGACATTTGGCCGAATCAAAACGTCACCTGGGTGTACTATCCCCCCATTGTAACATAAACGTTGTAGCGGAAGCGAAATGTGACCGGGCTAAACAATCATAAAAAAAAAAAAAGACCATGAAAAAGGGAGGAGTGGGTGTACGCTTCTTACGCTGTACCGCCTCAAATCGGCGTCGCAAGAGAGCAAGGACCTCTCACACGCCGGGAACGCGTTTTCCGACCGAGGACCTGCTCGAGTCACTCCCGGTCACCGATCAGGAAAATACACAAAAGAAAGAACCGTTTCGTAGCGACTGGGGATCATCGCACCGACCGTGTGCGGCGGCAGACCATTAGCGAGACCATCGCGATTGCACATGCGCCGCCCGACGGCAAGGTCCATGGGCCGCTATCGACGCCGTAACTTCGCACCAGTGTATACAAAAAGAAACAGTTAGTGGAAGGCGACCCAAAAAAAACGGGTACGTCGCCTCAGAATTGCATATACTGCGTCGCGACGCGCACGAATGGCTGGCTCCGCTTTAATGAGTTGGGGGGATGAGAAAGGTGAACGGTTTTGCGCCCTAATAGCAATGCGATCTCGGCGAAAAAGAAAAAAAACAAACAAAAACGCCAAGACCGACTGATGGGAGATGGTACCAAGAGCGCTTTGGCATTGGTTCGTGTGATTAAAGGATGCAATTAAATACCAAACTCAAAGAGAACACACGAAACGAGCCCGTCAACACCTATAGACCGACTTCGTGGCAAAAGGCCTGGGCCCATGAAACGTGGCACAAGGCCTGGGCCCATGAAATACGTCGAAGACACAAGTCCTAAATCTAGAAGCGGGCCCGCGCGCTTTTATTGTAATGTAATGAACATATGGCGAAGAATATAATGAGAATGAAAAGTAATGAGCAGGGCAGTGAAGAAAAAAAATCTAGACTCGCGTCGGCTGATCTTACTAAACATGCTGAAGCTTTGAACAAACTGTAGCGCCCTCATTTTGGGTAGTACAAGCTCACCTGATTGAGCATAGCACTACTTATGGCACTCTGGTCGAACTTTTTCAATTCTATGTGGTGCTAAAGAACGGAAAAATACCTTTGGACGCCAGAAATCGGCCAAACTCAACGTTGCAAAAAAATAGAAAGTGCCAAATTCATGACACCACCGCTAGGGCACGCGTCTCTGGATCTCTGGATGGTGACGTCACAACACCTGTGTCGCGACGCTTTAATTCTTTTTTTCTTTTTGATGTCTACTTTGGAAAGCGTGAAACGGCATCTCTTGGCTCACGCTCTCAGCATCTTAGCTTTGACAGCGTTAGAATTTTTGTTCTGTCTTTGTATTTTCATCGTGATCTCGCGCTCCGCACCAGAGCAGGCACGCTTCTGCATGCGTGACAGTTTGAGACGCTAAAACTTTGACTACCCAAAACAAGTCCTAACAAGTCCCATTCGCAGCACCCTCTGGGCAGCGCAGGAGGCCCATGCATGGCTCTTAAAATCAATGTTGCCAGTTATCAGAAAGGTTTATGCAAAATCGCAGGGAACGGTTTCTCGTCCTCCAGAGATGTCAAAGCAGTCCGCGACAGAGCAAAAATATTTCGGCCGAGCTTCCCGACACCATATACCAAAAACTCAGGATGCCGCATTTTTGAATTATGTCGATCACGAATAAAACCTTTCTAAAAAAGTGTGCGTCGTCTGTAGTACAACTGCTGCGGCACGTACTCTGAGCAGACACGAGGGCTAGCACTCAGATCCAAACACACGCTTCGTCGCGAAGAAATGGCGGCCGCCAATGTTGCTCGACGGGGTTTTGAAAAGAGTCCACGGCGCTCAGTTTGCACTAAGCACCAAAATGGCGGCACCTACGCAAGAAAAGCGGGGAATAGACTCGAGGACGCGGTGGCTCTATATTTTCATATTATATTGACGAATGGAGATGGTGAGGAAGTGGCAAAAGCCGACTCACAGAGGACGTTGAGCTGCGCCCCCTGGGACGCCAGCGAGTATCCGGTGGAGGCGTTGGTGGCGATGCACTTGAACTCGCCCAGGTCCAGGCTGGGGTCCACTCGGGTGACGCGGAGGTCGGAGCCCTGCTGGAAGCGCCGCGTCGTGTTGCGCACGGCCTCGCCGCCCAGGGTCCAGTAGAAGCTGATGCGGTCACTCTTGGACACGCCGCAGCGCAGGGTCGCGCTCTCGCCCTGCCGGACGCGCACGTCGGCGGGCTGCGGGCTGAAGTAGAAGGTGTCCTGGCCGCTGACCGCCTGGCACCACCAGGGACCTGCACGGTATAGAGGGACGAAGAGGGACCGTCAGTCGGTCGAAGTGGCGGGCTGTCCGAGCGCAAGAACTGTTGGAGGGACCTTCTGGAAGCCTTGGCGTATGCAGCCGACGCTTCGTTAAGCTTAACTCGCACTCTTGAATGTCCCTGCACCGCGAGGCATGCTTTGCAAGGGAGAGCAGACGCTCCAGATTTCTGAAAGAGGTATAGTCGATGGCGTGTTAGGAACGCAAAAGATGCTCTGCCTCTAACGCGAGCTTTCTGCCTGTGTTGACACTTGGTCGCACTCACAGCCGAAGCACCGCGGAAGGCAACGAGCTCGAGCTAAAGGTGGAACTTGCACTGCATTCCTCGCCTGCCACCGAAAATATATCATCAACCACACTTTACTCGGTTCCACCAACGATAAGCTTATCTATACCGGCGCCGTACTCCATTGACCACGTGTAGTACATGTGGCAAGAAGGGGTAGACGAGCTCTGTTGCAGCGCATCGAGAGCTGCATGGTCGTTGGGGCACTACACCGCTGTCTTTTCCCATGACTTATTCGAGGAAGGCCAACGATTGCTGTTCTCAGACAGTGTACGTGCGGGATTTCCTGCCATTGTGACTGACGGCAACGCATGGCATCCGTACACCATGTCCACGCCTCTCGCTTCGTGATTGGTTGCTCGGCGTTCTTATCGGCGAATGAGGCAATCTGATTGGCTACCGGCCGAGCGATAATGAGATGCCTCGCCACGCCCTGCGTTTCTTGAGCTGGCCATAGTGTAGCAATCGGAACCCTGATTCTCCCAAGCATGAGACACGTCAACCGTGTATGTATATATGATGCCGATTTATGACTAGGCAGCACCGAAATATGTTTCCGTTTTTTTTTAAATACGAGAATGATTGTTAATACAACTGCAACTATAACCAATATGCAGAAATATTTCTCGACATTAAAAACAACAAAGGGAACCATATATATAATAATGAAACGAAGACCGGCGAATACACTGGTACCCGGATTGCTTCGGTGTTAAATCGAATCCACGCCGCCAATCTTCGCGGCACAGATAATTTTTGTACCGGCGCGTATTCGTGTAATCACCGTTAAATAATGCTAAAATCGTTTCCTTTTTTTCTTTTTTTTTTTTTTTTTTGTTATTGCGCGTGTTTAATTTAAGCCTCCGTAAGTGACCTCCTTTTTCTCGGCTGATATGTGGAGCTGCAGACAAAAGGGCAGAGATGAACGACCGCGAATCTTCTCGTTGTCGACAAGAACTCTGCGGTGTCTACACAGGCAATCGCCTGTCGTGCGACCATTGGGACAAAGTGGAGCGAACTGAATAGAAGCACATAACGAAGGTGAATATCACTTATGGCTGCGTCCGTATTAGCAGCTGCATCGAATAAGCGTCTATATTCGCGCATACACCACAATCATCTGCGCCACCGGCGCGGTTCAACGGCCCCATCGTGGGCAATCATGCCGGCTGCCCGAACCGGAAGAACGAGAACTACACGCGGCCGCTGCACGCGCTATTAAAACCGCTCCCGCGCGCCACCGCGTTTTCGCTTCATTCACCCGCTCGCGCCCTCCACGCAGGTGTGCCGAGCTTCGCCCGAACGCCAGCGGACTCTCCGACACCCGACGTGCGTCGTCACACACACCGATGTATAGACGCTTTCAGGCAGCTGTGCATGGGCGCCGCCATAACCGACCTTCAGTTTACGTTCCATCTAATTCCTCTCGCTTCACTTCATCATTACCTCAGCATGACAGGTTATTGCCATTTTAGATGTTACTGTGTCCTTTTCGCCAGCACAGGGCTTTATGAAGGCTCGTCAACGCCCGCTTCGGTGGCTCGGCACCTCGGTAAGGCAGGAGAAGGTCGGCTATGGCGGCTCAATCGGTTTTCGTAGACCGCGTTTCCCCCTCCGCTGAGTCCTCCGCAACGAAGAAGCCGCTACTGCGCATGCGCGCTCATGGACTCGACTGTGGAGTTCTGGGTATCGTAGCGGGATACGGAGAGGGTTTCAAGACGGCGAAAACGATCTACGACAACTCTCTATTGGTTGTGTGGCGTTGGCGGAGAACCCAGGATCCCTGGGTTCTGCTAACAGCGCCAGCTTTCTGAGAGAGTTTTAGTAGACCGTTTTGGAACCGTACGCTGCGTCGAGAGCGGGCTTAGCGGGTGCTCAATGCATATGCTTCGAAGTGACTGCATGAGCACCCTCTAGCTGCAGGGCGTAGCTCTAGAACACGGTAAAAGCTTCTACTAAAACTCTTTATCCCATACGTGCGAGCGAAGCGGAACCTACAAGTGCGAGCACACTAAAGAGTTTTAGGGAACCGGTTTCGCACGTCCGATACGGTATACGATATGGGCGCTCCGGTACGAATTGCGCATGTCCGAGTATTCTGCGGTATAGCGCATGCGCAGTCCGTACCGGAGGACCCATCGTATACCGTATCGGGTGTGCAAAAACGATTCCCTAAAACTCTCTACTGAATACCAGACTTGTACTGACTTTATTGCAAGTAATCAAATTACTTGTAATCAATTACTTTTTAAAGTAATATTATCATCATTTGATTACATTTATGAGGTAGTAATCGCAAGAGCAATTCGATTAAATATGGAAGTCCTATAATTAGTTTAACCGTTATTATTTTACAGCATTAAATGCATTTTAACGCCCTCAATCCCAAAATTCAGTCCATCCGTCCGTGCATTTTCCGCTAAATTTAGCGGGGAAAGCGATGTCACATGACCTATACACCTTCGGAAAATTAAGGGCACGTGACCCATACGTCGAACCAGTTTCCCCGCTAAATTTAGCGGGCGAAATCGACGTCACGTGACCACGTGACCTATATACAAGCATCAAGTTTCTCCACTAAATTTAGCGGGAAAATATACGTCACGTGACCATACCAATATACCAATTCCCTCACCAATTCCCCATAACGCTTTGGAACTTCAAAGGTAAAAATCGCTGCCAACTTTTTTCTTTTTTTTTTTTCTTTTTCGATGGCGCTTTTGTTTGTGCAAATTTTGTAGGAAGCAATCGTCGCACAAAGTCAAGGACAGGAAGATGGACTATCAAAATTGGTGTATTAAGCGGATAAGTAGTTTATAGGTCGGCGATTTTAATCGAATAATGGAGAGTACACGAAAGGCCCGTTTCTTTTTTAATTGGCAGAAAAATCTGTCATTTTGATCACCTGAAGTACTAACCAGGGCCTCTAAACTCGTGGAACACGAAGTTGGGGCCGAAGTTGACGGAACGCACCGATTGGCCTATAACGACGATGACTTTGCACTTTTTTCGCCGACGTCCAATCGGCGCGCTCCGCGAACTTTCGGCTGAAACTTTGTGCTTGACGAGTTTAGGGCCCCAGGAAAGTACCAGTCACATTTTCAAGAAACTGTCAATTAGTTTCCTTCTCGGGTAATAAAGTAATCTCACTGGCTACTTTTTAACCGAGAGTAATTTTGTAATACAAATCGATGATTCTTTTTTTTTTTTTTTCGAGTAAAAGCTGGTTTTTACCGCCTTGTTTTCTTACGTTAGGTAAAAGTCACCGAAACATATATTCGTGTCTCGAAATGTCGCGAGCCAGGCTATCTCCTTGAATAGCCACGCTTAGTACGAAGCACAGATGTCTCGGCAACTTAGGCGTAAGCAGACGTTCGCAACATAACGTATAAGAAAACGGGGCGCAGCGTAAACCAGCCTTGACGTGCATACAAGACTGCTGAATACTGCTCTTGCCTCACGCGAGCTTGCCCTTACGCTCAGAATGAACGAGAAACAGACGTGCCAAAAATGCCCACAATTTGCGGGGTGAAACGTCGGGACAGCGCCCACCGCCACTAACTGCACGCCAAGTTGTTGCATATATTATATAGGTGAAAAAAGAGGGGAAGAGACGATACGCGTTTGTGTATACATTTTTCCAGCGATTATTATCACTCAAAATGCCGAGTCATGTGGACAAGTCTCATACGCCGAAGACCGGAGCTACTGCGCATGCCCAGAACCCACTCCGTAGCCCATGGAGTAGACAACCGTGGCGGCGCGCAGGAGGCGGTGACTGGAATGGTCTGTAGGGGCCGCGCAGCCGAGCTTGTATCGGCAGGCAGCGCCACCTAGGGCGAACTTTGTAGAATCTCCCAGGAGACGTATTCACCAGGGTCGGCATTTAATTACATTCGAACTCGTCTGTCCGACCGCCCTGCCAGCCAACCGTGACGCGGCGCTCGTCCATAATATAAGTTCGTTGGTGGGTGCCGCCCAATTTTGCCTTTTTTGCTCACCGGTGGCGCTGACTCGAAAGCTGACCGGGACGCTCGCTGCTCACTGCTCTGGGAAGGAGTGCGGAATATTGATTGCCAAAATTAAGAACGCCTTTTTTTCTTTTCTTTTTTTTTTTTCTGAAGACTTGAAAGTCTCCCGCTAATAATAATAATAATAATAATAATAAGAAAATTACCGGAAGAACGTTATTTAAAAAAAGAAAGTAGAGAAATGAAGTATTCAATTTTAGGAAACAGCTAGAGGCAACGAAATTACGTTTTTCGCCTTCGGATTTGGACGTCCTAATGTTCATTCGTTCTAAAAAAAAGAAAAAAAGAAAAATAAATAAATAAAGTATGTGTAATGAAAGGCGCTTACATATTAAAAATAAATAGCATTATAAAAACATAACGGTAAATAGCCTTTTAAAAAAAGAAATTGTGCTCGAACAGTGGCACTTCAAAATGCGGCACACCGTCAACCCTGTGCAACATTAACAAAAAACACATACGCAAAAACAAAAAAAAAAAAAACAAAAAAAAAAAACGAATGTATGACAACGTAAAGTAAATTGAAGTAAAATGAAGACAGAAACTCGATATATCTTTTTTTATGTTGTCATTAAATATTGAAAAAAAAATAATAATAAAATGAAACGACGCAGATAACCGGATTATACAAGGCGGTGGTTCCCGTCATTCCAAATA